AAGATCGACAGGTTCGACCTCGTTCGAACCGGGACTAAGGCTAAGGCCTTCGCCATCAAAGATCGACAGGTTCGACCTCGTTCGAACTAAGTTTAAGGCTAAGTGCCTTCGCCGTCAAAGATTGACGGTTCGACATCGTTCGAGCTACGTTTAAGGCTAAGTGCCTTCGCCATCAAAGATTGACAGTTCGACCTCGCTCGAACTGGGAGTCAGGCTAAGTGCCTTCGCCATCAAAGATTGACAGTTCGACCTCGCTCGAACTGGGACTCAGACTAAGTGCCTTAGCCATCAGAGATTGACAGTTCGACCTCGCTCGAACTGGGACTCAGGCTAAGTGCCTTCGCCATCAAAGATTGACAGTTCGACCTCGCTCGAACTAAGTTTAAGGCTAAGTGCCTTCGCCATCAAAGATTGACAGTTCGACCTCGCTCGAACTAGGACTAAGGCTAAGTGCCTTCGCCATCAAAGATTGACAGTTCGACCTCGCTCGAACTGGGACTCAGGCTAAGTGCCTTCGCGATCAGAGATTGACAGTTCGACCTCGCTCGAACTGGGACTCAGGCTAAGTGCCTTCGCCATCAAAGATTGACAGTTCGACCTTGCTCGAACTAAGTTTAAGGCTAAGTGCCTTCGCCATCAAAGATCGACAAGTTAGACCTCGCTCGAACTAAGTATAAGGCTAAGTGCCTTCGCCATCAAAGATTGACAGTTCGACCTCGCTCGAACTGGGACTCAGGCTAAGTGCCTTCGCCATCAAAGTATAACTAAGTTCGACCTCACTCGAACTGAGTTACAGGCTAAGTGCCTTCACCATCAAAGTTTGATAAGTTCGACCTCGTTCGAACTGGGACTCAGGCTAAGTGCCTTCTCCATCAAAGTATAACAAAGTTCGACCTTGCTCGAACTGAGTTACAGGCTAAGTGCCTTCGCCATCAAAGTTTGATAAGTTTGACCTCGTTCGAACTGGGACTCAAGCTAAGTGCCTTCTCCATCAAAGTGTAACAATGTTCGACCTCGCTCGAACTGATTTAAAGGCTAAGTGCCTTCGCCACCAAAGTTTGATAAGTTCGACCTCGTTCGAATTGGAACTCAGGCTAAGTACCTTTGCCACCAAAGTTTGATAAGTTCGACCTTGATCGAACAACGACGGGTTAACATTTTGACAAGTTCGAAATAACACCCTTAATGGCCAAGTGCCTTCGCCAAAATGAAGAGTTCGACCTTGATCGAACGACGACGGGTTACCATTTCGATAAGTTCGAAATAAAACCCTTTAAAGGCCAAGGGCCTTCGCCAAAGAAGAAGAATTCGACATCGACCAAACGACGACGGGTTAACATTTTGATAAGTTCGGAATAACACCCCTTAAAGGCCAATGGCCTTCGCCAAAATGAAGAGTTCGACGTTGATCGAACGACGACGGGTTAACATTTCGATAAGTTCGAAATAACACCCTTTAAGGCCAAGGGCCTTCGCCAAAGAAGAAGAGTTCGACCTTGATCGAACGACGACGGGTTAACNGCCATAACCTTTCCCATATCCTATACACACACACACACACACATATATATATATATATATATGTGTGTGTGTGTGTATGTGTGTGTGTGTGTGTGTGTGTGTATAATGTAGAAGAAAAAGACATGGCAAAAATTAGGCATTTACAGTGTCTTCCCGGAAAACTCTAACTCCGGCAACGCTGGCAAAACCAGTGGCTCCTTGTTAATTTTACATAGCTAGTCTTCGTTTCTTGTCTTGCATTGCTTCTTCAAAATTAAGGGGCTCAGAGTCGAGAAAGAGATGAAAAGAGTTGGATATTTTATTACCTCCCTTTCCTCATAAAGATCTTTACATCTTTATTTGTGCCGTGCTTTTTCAGAAAAGCTATCATGTGGTGATTGCTATTGTTGAGGTGATGTAGGAGGAGTAGCAACATGTTCCTTGCTTCTTCGTCATCTTTTATAGGAAATAGCCCATATTCATCACTTTAAAAGCCATTTCAATTGCATGTGGCCATTAACTAATTAATCAGATCTGGTACGTCTTTTTTTTTTTTTAGAAAGGGCTATTGGTTTTTTCTGGTTATCAATGGATAAATCACGGGCATAGCAGAGAGGGGCAACCACCCTTTACCAAAAAAAAAAAAACTTGAAAACTGCCATGGCGGCAAGCATCAGTAAGCCTTGTGAGACAGAGAACAAACACCAAAAATGGAACTTCTCTGCCCCTATCTCACAAACCCATCTAAGCTACCATACCAAGTTACAGTTTCTTCAACTCAATAGAAAAATATGTTTCATCTTCCGCAGAAGATAAAATCTTCATAGCCTCTACAAAAACAAACCCAATTGTAGACATAAAACTTTGCTAAAAGCGGACAGCAACACCAAATTGGTAGCGCCCACTAAAAGCATAACCGGAGAAGGGAACGTGGTCACTCCTCTCCACTCGTCGACCGATCAAATCGAGGTAACAAACGCTTTCATTTTGTTTTAACTAACTATTTCTCTAAGTGGAATAGAAGCAGGAGCAATCACCAAGGAAACGCGTCGTACTCTCCAATGCAAGCAAAATTTAGCAAACTGGGACTTACCCAAGAAACGCAGTAGCTAAGCAAAACTGGGACTCCCCTAGGAAACACCCAATATTCTCCAGTAACTGACTACTAATTTAACAATTAATATTATTTTGTACATTTGGTGATGTCCTCTTCAA